CTCCACCCCAGTCCGTGGCCTTTCTCCTCCAGCAGACTGCTCTTTCCATCTGGAAAGAGTTCTGTGCGGAAACGCTGAGCACCAAGCCTGGCCCGTGGTGATTGCTCAGGAGATAGGAATCTCTTTCTTCCTCAGGGCTGTGCCAACCTGTGGAGACAGAGGCTCCAAGGGCCCAGACTAAGAGCAACGGCCCAGCTCTGGTTACTTTGATGGCACAGCAGGAGATAGTCTGGGGAGGAAAACCTGCAAGGGCAGATGATGGGATTAGAATTATGTTTGAGGGCAGGAATCAGCAGGAGGGAATGAAGTCCTTTTTCCAGACCGCCTCAGGCGGGGCTGAATAATCCTGCCTCCAGACTCTGATAAAACTTGGATCCAAAGTCAGTGTGTGCCTGGGAGGTATCACCTCTCTCCATGGAAATAGGAAGGACAGAAAACAAAGCGTCCAGGGTTCAGGATGTCGGGTGTACCCTCAATATTAAATCTTGCAAATAGGAACCTGGCACAGAAGAGGTTCTCACTTATTCATTTAGTCACACACTCACCAGGTGTGCGGGCAGGACCTGGCCTGGACCAGGCACTGTTTTAGGTGCAGAGGATGCGATGAGGTGTAAAGCTGCCATGGTCCCTAGACTCTGAAGACTTCAACCTAGTAGGGGAAACATTAACCTCAAAGAAGGCACAAATACCTCTGAGAAGGAGAAGGGTCTGAGAGGGTGCCAGGGACCAGGAGAGCCTAGAGCAGGGGACCCAGTTATTTCTGCAGGTTCAGGGCCGGCATCCCTGGGAAAATGCTCCAGTGCTGAGAGATGGAGGATAAGGATCAACCAGAGGAAGAGGGAGCAAGAGAAAGTCTAGGAAGAGACAACAGCATGTGCAAAAGCCCTAAATGGAAAGGAGCAGGGCACACTGAGGATCAGGCGTCCTGGGTGGCAGGGCACATAGAGCCAGGCAGGCTGTGGAGCAACCTGCTCTGCCAGGTAACAGTTTTCATTTCAGGGCAAGGAGAAGCCACTAAGAGCTGTGAACAAGGAAGGGATTTGCTGTTTTGAAAGCGCCTCCTGGTTTCTGTCTGAAGAATGGCTGAAGGAGGAATAGGGCGTGCGAGTCAGGGGGCTGTCACAGCGGTGATGGCACGGCCGGTGCAGGGAGGTGGAACAGTCCAGCGGTAAATATGAGGAGCTGAAGTATGATTCTTGGTCGATTGCGTGAAGGGTTTGCGGGAGAGAGGAGCAAGGCCTGATGTGGGGCTTCTCACTGGGGCCAGGAGGCCAAGGGGTAAATAATGAACCAGGTTTTAACGGGAATCATTTGTAAGTCCTCCTGCTTAAACTTCTTGCTTCCAGGTTCTATGCCAGGCATTGGGGCTGCAGGGGAGGAAGATGGCCCCTGCCTCCAGGGAGCTCAGGGTATATTGGGGGAAACCCTAGATGTGACTGGGGTACCTATCCATGTGGGGAGAGAGACTATAAAATGGTGAAGAGACATATCCAGAGGTCCTTGTGAGAGTGGGATCTGAGCTGAGCCTTTAAGGACGGACAGGGTAAAGTGGGTAAAAGAGGACAATCCAGGAAGCAGGAAAAGAAACAAAATGTTAGGAATGTATACAATGCATTGGGTGACCCCCACAGTGCAAGGAGGGTGAGGCTGCAGGCAGGTGCCACCACCCCTGCCTTCCTCCGGGACTGCTGGCAGGGAGCTGAGCGTGTGTGTGTTTAGTTAACTGTTACAACAGTTTGCACTTAGTAGTGCACTTATTCAGGTGAGGCACCCGAGCACCCTACAAATACCAAGAAAAATGATTTCAGATCCCTGCCTAATAGGATCATATGATCCTCTGTTGTAAAAGTCCCTGACGTTCATATTGTTATCCCCATTTTACAGGTGGAGAAACTAGTCTGTTGTAGTCGAGATCCCAAGATCTTGCAGGCAAGAGCAGTACCGAAGCAAAGTCCAGAGGGTTATTCTGGTTCCTGAGAGGGTACACAGGCTGGGGGATAGAAAGGGTCTGTGTCCCAAGCTGTCTTGAGATGTTCTGCAGCTGGCTCAGCTGGCTTAGCTGGCTCAGGGCACCAGATTTGGATGAGCACCCAAAGACCGCGGGCCTGTGGGCTGAGCCAGAATGAATCAGCCCACCTGCACTCACTGTGTGTTTGGCTTCCACCCTGGGGCATGGCTTTGTCTCATCCACACAGAGGGCACTGAAGGGCAGCCTCTGCCAGCCTTACTGGGCGTGAGGACATTTCATAGATGGGAGACTGGCAGGGCACTGTGGAGCCAAAGGATGCCCAGTGAGTGTCAGTGAGAATTTTATGTTGCCCTTAAGCGTGGTGTGTTCATAGGAAAACCAGCCAAGTCTATTTTGATCTTAAAAATGAATGCTTAATTTATAAAAGTGACAAATTTTGAAATCTAGTAAAATGTAATAGTCTCTTTGATAGGGCAGTTTTATAACTTAATTCCCCTAAATAGTTAAACTTAGATTATAAATAAAATAAGCTTAAAAGTATGATGACTATTGGGTTGTCATAAAAGTTCCATCATTGTTTACAAATTTTATAAAACTGTCTTGTATCTTCCAATTATGTCTAAATTAATGATTCCATTACACATTTTATGTTGGAATCACAATACTAATTTGCTAGATATTCTAATATGCAAGATTATTTTAAACAGTACTAAAGCCTCACAGATTTTTCCTAAATTTAATATCTAAAAAGGTAATGTTTTGGATCTTAATTCTAAACTTTCCCCGGATTAAAGACACTTACTCATGAAGGACACAAGTTTACTAACCCAAGCAATAAAGTATTATATATTCAAGCCAGTTTGGGGTTAGCTCACAGCTGGTTGATAGTGCTTATGAAACAGAAATTGGGGGGCTGGCTTGGGAGCCCCAAGGAAACATCCAAGGGAATCTATTTTGCCACCCATGCTGTAGGGCTGGCCTTCTTTTTAATCTCTGCGTCAGCAGGAGATGCTGAATCCCTGTCCTGTCAATAGGGGAGGTTTTGCAACCCAAGATCCTGAGATTAAGTGAAGCCCTGGTCACTTCTTTTGTCCCCTGCCTTAACCTCCTCACCCCTTTAAGACAACCCAACCCAGGTCACTCATGACCTGACAAGATTCACCTAATCAGTCTCCTGCTTGAATCGATTCCTAATTAACTTTTATTTTTCTGCTCTGGCCAGTCCCCAAGTATTAGAGATATTTTAATACCACCCTTGGATTGTGCATGCTTCTAGTGGCTTCGCTTGGCTCTGTCTATAAACACTGAGATCCTACTGACGGTAGCCAGCTGTGATCATTTGGAAAGAGCAGCTGTGCTCTGTGTCACCCTGGGCCAGGGAGCCACCCAGACCCTCTCTGACCTCTGTGACATCAGAGACAACAGGAGGGACAGGATGATGGTGTGTGCCTCTGCTGAGAGATGTCAGTCCCCTAGTAGCTAAGGTGCTAAATAAAGCAAAAAGTTTCTGGATCAGGATGACATTTCAGAATAAAAATAGCCCAAGAGTGTATAAATTTACTTTTAAGTAAATAGAAAAAAAAATTGTAGTTGTAAAATGGCATGAGGTGCTCTGTGTACATGATGTCTAATCTGCATTCATGTCTAAGTAAATGTCATTATACACAATGAATAGATGACAAACTAGAAACCCACAGAGATTAAACCATAATGAGCTAAGAAAGTACTACAAATTGAGATCTTATTGGTCCAGCTTTAATAAGCATAGCCTAAAAGCTGATAGGAATTGTTTAAATGCTGAAGTGATCTTGTGCTTAAAGACTTGATTGGCCACAAAGTATAAAAGGGTAATAATTCCCCTGCAGTGAGCACCTACTCTGTGCCAGGCACTATGGGAAACAGCATAGGCCCTGGGAGCAGACAGACCATAGGGATGACATGCCTGCCTGCTTCCCAGGCTTGCTGGGTTGCTGCGTGGCTGAAACGAGCTTTGAAAAGGAAGGTGGTATGTGCTGTATGTGTGCAGAGGCCCGTTACACGGGCCAAGCGGCCACTCTGGAGTAGTGACTTTCAGCCTGACACTTGAGGAAGAAGTGTGCATTCTAACTAAGGCTGAGCCAGTCTGACTTCAGCAGTGTTTGCCTTGGGTGTCAGCGACGTCACCTGCTCCCCACTATGTGGCTGGGCCAAGGGATGGGCCGATGTCCAGAGTAAGGCAGGCGGAGCAGCCCCTGAGGACTCTGGTGAGAGGCTTGGTCTCTTGGCTGCAGAGAAATCAGCCTGGAAGCTTTGGAATAAGCAAGGGCCAGGGCCCAGGGGGTGCAGAGGAGCCAGAGTGGGGTAGAGTGAGGGGAACGAGGCCTCTTCACTGCTTAAATGGGGAGTCCAGCCAGCCATCTACCACAGGTGGGGTCAGTGGTGGTGGAGCAGACAGCAACGGGTGCATTGTCTTTAGGGAAATTTAAAGCAATAATAAGAGCAATTAAGAGCCTGTCTACTTTTTGTTATCCGTGCGCTGGCTGTTCTAAACTATGTCAGTGACGAAACACTTTCCTTGCTCCCGCTCCTTCTTTCTTAGCCTGTCATAGACCCCGACCCGTCCCCTTAACGAGAGGACCGGGCAAGCTTGGAGTCCATGAGGACAACGAAAGAGCTCTCTGGCCTACAGGGTCACCTGAGTGGATGGGCCCAGCCATCCCAAAGGAACAGGGGCCTGGGTGGAGTGTGGGATGGACAGACTGCGGGGTGCCTGCTGGAGGACCCTGAGTCCAATACTGCTATTGTCACCTGCGTGCCACCCTCTGTGCCACGTGCAAGTTATAATCAATTGGCAAGCACATTGAATGACTGCCCTCCCCCTGCACCCTGCGTTCTGTACGGAGGATATAGAAACCAGATTCTCCTCCCAGCTCTCCATCAGAGCTGCCCTGCCCAGGGTCCACTAGACTGAGACTTCTCAGGCAATCTGTGCCCTGCCCTATCCCTGTCTGAGTCCTGGCCCTCACAATGACCACCTCTCTCTCCTCTGCAGGAGCCAGGTGGAACCCACCAAGGATTCAAGTAAGAATCAAGGTCTTATAACCACAGAGCCAGACAAGGATCAAGGGCCTGTGGGTCTTGGGCCTCTGAAAGATCAAGGTCCTGTGAGCCAAGAGCCTCCAAAGGATCAAGGCCCCTCGATCCCAGGGCCTCTGAAGGATCAAGCTCCGATGGTCCCAGGGCCTCTGAAGGATCTAGGGCCTGTGATCCCAGCACCAGTTAAAGATCAAGAGCATGTGGCCCCTGCGCCTTTAAAGAATGAAGGTTCTGTGATCTCAGCACCAGTCAAGGACCACGGTTCCTTGGCCCCAGTGCCTCCAAAGAATCAAAGCCCTACAGTTCCAGCAAGAATTAAGGATCAAGTTTCCACTGTACCAGGGCCTCTGAAGGACCACAGTCCTGTGCTCCCAGCATCTGTCAAGGACCCCTCGGTCCCAGGGCCTCTGAAGGACCACGGTCCTGTGTTCCCAGCATCCGTCAAGGACCCCTTGGTCCCAGGGCCTCTGAAGGACCACGGTCCTGTGCTCCCAGCATCCATCAAGGACCCCTCGGTCCCAGGGCCTCTGAAGGACCAAAGGGCCATGATCATCGCGCCTGTGAAGAATGAAGGCCCTGTGCTCACTGAGCCTGTGGAGAGTCAAGGTGAAGCCCCAGAGCATCTAAAGGCTGCTATAAAGAATGAAGGCCCTGTGATCCCAGCACTAGTCAAACATCAAAGTCCCATGGTCCCAGAACCTCCGAGGAATCAAGGCCCTGTGGCCCCAGAGCCTCCGAGGAATCAAGTTCCCGTAATCCCGGTGCCTGTGAAAGGCCATGATCCTCTGGTGCCACCAGCAGCAAAGGACGAAGGTCCTGTGGTCCCCGAACCTCTGAAGACTCAAGGTCCCAAGGGTCCTCAGCTGCCTACGGTCTCACCCTCACCCCCAGTCATGATCCCAACTGCCCCCCAAGCAGAATATATTGAGGCTTCCCCTTGATGCTCTCCCCTTGACATGCCGAGAAAGGAGCCGGCAGTGAAAGTGCCCCCTCCCGGGGCAGTGAAGACACATATTTAATTTGCATGAAACATGTACCGTATAGTCTTGCTGGCATCTAATAAAACTGGTCCCTCTGGCTCAGCAATGTCTCCCTCTGCCTCCTTTTGAGTGTGTGTGTGTGTGTGTGTGTGTGTGTGTACACAAATGCACCTGTGTGGTGTGTATGTCTGTGTGCATGCAATGCACATTCCCAAGTGGGCATGAAGGACTTGCACTCACCCACCTGGGCCAGAGAAGTCTGAGAGATCTCCAGCGCCTGTGAGTTGCTGATATCACATGGGAGGAGACAGAAGAGGCCAGGAGATGGAGGACAAGACCCAGAGTGAGGCTGTGAGATAGGACGAGGCAGGGGTCACGTAAAGAAAAAATTCCCACTTCTCCTTTACACTCACGCTTATCACACTTCACTTCTGGCAAGATGTGTGCGCTTCACACACCAGGCAATTCTGTGACACCAGCTAGGTGTCCTATGACGTAAGTTGGCTCTGACGCTATCTGCCTGGAGAAGCAGCAGATCCTATAGATTAAAAGAGCAGTCCCATGAGACTGTCTCCCCAACTTCAGAGGTCGGCTGAAAGTCCAGAACGGCTGGCCAATTGGCTATAAATTGGGGTTTCCACAGTCCTATCTTATCCTTGGGTTCAGATAATTTGTTAGAATGAGTCACAGAACTTTGGGGAACACTAATGCTTACTGGTTTGTCTTAAAAGGATCTGATAAGGGATGGTGGAAGAGATGTACAGGGTAAGGCACAGGGGAAGGTATGGAGCATTGTTCCGGCCCTGACCAGGCATTCTGCCCTTCCAGAACTCCACGTGTTCAGCCAAAGACTGAACCAGGGGGCTAAACACCAATGCATACAGATCTCCCCCACAATTCGAAAGTACCATGTTCCTATTTGATATGATTTGATAGGTTCTTTTTGAATCTGGAAATGCTATTACTATTAATTTACATGGAAACATTTGTTAGTTTTCCCAGACTTTTCCTCAGCACTCACTTTGTGTCATGTTCAGTGCTGGACATTGGAATCACTAGGGTGAAAAGTCCCTGTCTTAGGATAATAAAATGCGGCATGGGAGGGGACTCTGGGACAAGTAAAGGCTTGGCTTTGAGAGGGCCATGAAGAGAGGACACCTGGTGGAGCAGTCAGGAAAGCCACAGATCAGGCAAGCGGGGCCGGGGTAGAAAGGGCACTAGGAGTGTGCTCCGGACCCTTCCAGAAGTCCTCGAATGAAAGGAGCCTAGTTTGCACGAGGGCGGGGCCAAGGGCTGTGGCAAGTCCTGGGCAGAAAACTGGGACCAGGCAGGGCACACCCATCTTCTAAACCCCAGGACCTCAGAGCGAGTCAGGGGGTCAATCCGTCAAGGGCCTGTTGGGCTGAAGCTTAGCCTTCGTCAGAGATGAGTCCCACGAGGATCCCACGGTGTGGGCCACACTAACCTCCCCTTTAAAGTCCAGTGCCCTCAGGCACTCAGGGTATTGATTGGGCAGAAAAGCTCTACCTGATGCCCCCACTAAACCTGCCCCCAGGGAAAACTACTCATTTAAGACGTGGGGTCCTTGGTATGAACACTGACCCCTTGTAAAGATATTTTGGTTTTTCTTTTAAAGGTTTTTTCTAAAGGTTCTCAGCTCGGTTCTTACAGAGAAATCATTATAGAAAGTGCTGATTACTTCCAGATAGTCCTGTTTTCTGAGTAACTAGCCCCAAGCCTGCCTTTTTACCCCAGTCCCAACTGTACTGGGTGGGGAGAGAGAGAGAGAGAGATGAGGTTTCTGTGTGGCCCAACACAGAGGTAGCCCTCAGAACTTGCTGCCATGATTTGTGACAGTCAGGACCTGCAGACAAGAAAGGCCACACTGAGGCTAAAGGAGGGGTGAGACATGTCTTATGTCTCTCCTGCTTTCGGTTCTCTAAGGCACTCACGGAGTCCTCCACATGCCCATCCCCACAGTCCAGTCACGGCACCATATCTGAGTTGAGGAACATCCAGAGGCCAACTGCAAGAGGCCATTGCCTACCTGGGCTCCCCGCTCCAGAGAGCTGCCTGGATAGAGGGCCTAGGAGTCAGCCAGAAGGAGAGTGTGGGCACTGAACTCCCCAGCAGCAGTCGGATAGACAGACAGGAAGAGAAGAGGTCCCAGTTCTAAGCTCTGGAGATATTTTATTTTTTATTATTATTTATTTTTCATTTTTTTTAAAGATTGATTTATTTATTTATACAAGCACTGGGCACAGTCAGAAGCGCTGGAGGGTGAGAGAATTCACCAGAGCCAGAGCGGGGAGCAGAACAGGCAGACTGATGAAATACACTGCTGAGGGGAGCAGCGAGCAGCAGGAGAGGTCCACGTGCCAAGTGGGACCCTCACCCGGTGCCCGGGGATTGAACCGGCACTGCAGAGGCTGCAGGCAGCTTAGCAACCCAGCGCTCAACCACTGCGCCACCGGGGAGGCCCTCTGGAGATTTTTTAATGGACAGGAAGAGAAATGTACAAAGGCCGCTGGTTCAAAGCTGTGAGGAGAAACCAGGGATCTGTGGTGCCAGGGGAGATTCAAGGTGAGTGATGCCTAGTGTCAAAAGCTGAGAAGGTCCCCATGAGGACCAAAAGGTGGTGGCTGGATTTAGCAGCTTTGCTTGGGAGAAGGCAGACATGGGCTCCAGCCAGCTGCCTCAATGTCTTCATTTGTAAGACTGTTGTCATTATTAGGCAGACTGATTGGGCACCCCAAGGCCCCCAAACCTTCCTGCTCTAAATGGGTTCTGCCATTTGTCACATAAAGAGAAAATACACTCTTCCTGCATAAAACCTTCAATAGGAAAAAAACAAACAAACTTTAACACGATTACTGTGCAACAGAAAAGAAAGAATGTAGTTAAAAAATAGTTTCCCCATGAAACACCCAAAGTTTCCCACCCCCTCGTGTGTAAATGCCCAACCAAACCGGGTAGGCCCAAAGCAGGACCACCCAAGCCCAAAAGCTGGCCACCGTCTAAGGTACCTCCATCTTTTGGGGACCCATAGAAAGGGGCCAAAGGGGCCTGGCAAGTCTCGAAGGAAAACAACAAAATCAAAACACAAGTCAAGAGAAAGGCTGCCGCTGTAAGATCCCCTCCCGCCACCCCATCTCTGTCACTTTCAGGTGTACCCATCCCTGCCCCCCAAGTCCCTGGTACAGGGCCGAGGCTGAGAAGCGGGGTCTTCCTGCCTTCTCCCTCACCCCTCTTTAGCCCCCCCCCAAGTTCTTTTCCCAGCCTTTTCCAGCTTCTCCCTTGGGTGCGGGAGGGAACCCCCCTTTCCATGGGGCGTACACTGCCACAGCCTGACAATGACACACACTCAAGCAGAAAGCCTGGGGGTAAGCTGCAGACCCGCCTCCCCCTTTACGGCCTGGTCACCCCGCGGAGGAAGGTCCAGGAGAGGCAATTGCACAGACAGGCGAGAAGGAGCCGGACTCTGGGCCCTTCTCGCGGCGCCTCGTTTCTGCCCGGGTTCTTCCCGGCCCCTCCCCGCGCCCGTCATCCCCATGCACCCCTGTCCCTCCCGGAGCCCCAGGACCCCGAGAAAGGGGGGTTGGGGGGGCGGCGGGGGGCCTCTCAGGGTCACTCCCGGGTGGTCGAGCGTCTGAATCTGCATCTTAGAGGGGATCCCAAAGATGCCCAGACTCCGCCCGGACCCTCCGCCCCCCGGAACCTGCCTCTGGGCTCAGAGTCTTATTCCCGGGGATCCACCCCTCCCCGATCGCGGTCTCTCTGGCACACCCTGTACCCCCGACCCGGGTGGGGGGCTCTAGTGCCGGGGCAGCCGGGCCCCGCGGGGCCGCGAGGCGCGAGGTCCGTCTCAGGAGCATTAGCAGGGCCTCGCCCCGCGCCCCCCGCGCCCCACGCCCCCCCGCGCGCCCCGCGCCATCGGGGAGGCTGCGCCACCTGCAGGCCGGCTCGGGCGACCTCTGGGAGCGCCCGCGAGGCCTCCCTGGAGCCCCTGGGGGTGCGGGGATTTTACTCTTTCCTCACACACTGATCCCTTCACCTAACCAGCCTGCCTGGCACCCTGCACCGCCTTGGCCACTGACATTTGGGGTGCAGCGAAGAGACGGCCCGTGAGGATCGAGGGAGGCACTAGGAGCCAGGTCCCCCTGGAGCAGTACCCTCGCGAGTCCAGAGCAAGGAGTGGGGGACACTTTGGTTAGCCCACTTCTCAGAAAGGCGGAAACCCCAACCTTCCACTTCCAATCGTCACCAAGACCAGCCCCCTCTACCTGCTCAACAAAGAGCAAATCTGACCCTTCCCCCATCTCTACGGACACCCCCTGTTACCTCACACAGCACAATTTGTAATTCTATTTTTTTTTAAATAGAGGCATGTTTTATTTATTTATTTATTTGTTTGTTTGTTTGTTTGTTTATACATGCCCTGGGTACAGTCAGAAGCGCGCGGGAGGGTGAGAGAATTCACCAGAGCCAGAGCGGGGAGCAGAGCAGGCAGAAGGACCGAAGTACACTGCTGAGGGGAGCAGCGGGCGGCAGGAGAGGTCTGCGCGCCATGTGGGACCCTCCTCCGGTGGCCGGGGAGCAGCCGGGGATCGAACCGGCGCTGCACAAGCTGCGGGCAGCTTTGCAACCCAGCGCTCAACCGCTGCGCCACCGGGGAGGCCCCTATTTGTAATTCTAAATGTCAATCGCATCACAGCCCTCAGGGCGTAAGAAATGTGGCCTTTCCTTTTGGTAAATCGAATCAGATCTAGCTGCAGTCCCCTTCTCTCAAGGCCAGAGCTGCAGGAACTGTAACATTAGTCACTTTCCTGGAGCCTCACCCCAGCTCTGGGGCCCGACACAATTCCAGGAACTTGGAGCATCTTGAAAAGACACGGAAGTTGTCACTATGGCCCACCTCAGGGCAAGCCAGGGGGCGCTGGCAGCCTCACCCTAGGCCAGGGAAGTCCAAAGCCTGCCCAGGAGGGCTGTTCCTGCAGTTTCCTCAGGCACCCTTGTAGCAGACTCATGGCTGGGCCCATCCCTCAGAGGCCCGGTAATCTAGGCCCCTAACCCCCTACCCATTCAGCACAGACCCCTCCCCAAGTCAGT